AAATATATGAAATATATACTTGAGACATGTGGAGACCACAGCGACGAGATGATCCATTTCTTTCGCAACGAAATCGTCAATAATGATCACAACAGCATAATCGATGATATAGTTCATACAGTTACGCATATATGTTCTCATCCATTCCCATACTCTTTTTTCTGATATTTTGCAAAAATAAGAAATAAGAAATAAAATAAGATTCGAGGAATTAAATTGGAACTTTGAAATTCTTTACACTAATTTTCATATTATTTCTTAGTTTCTTTAATCAACATTAAATATTGATTAATTAGTTTTACACCGCTAAAGGATTGTAATTGAAAAATAGTTTCAAAATGCGACGCCTGAAAATTAATTATTTGGACAGTAGTTTTTCTATATTCGTATGTATTATTCTATTCTGCAAATAAGATGAATTTAAAAGAGATCAAAACTCAAAATAATATGCGCAAACATCAACAAAGCATCTAGTTATACACAGAGACACACTGAAGATAAATAACGAACCGTCAAGAAAAATTGACAATTCATAGAATAGATAAAATATGTAAAGGAAAAAGAGACGTATGAAAGAGAAGAACATTGGAATTTGTCGCGCTTTCTCATGCGCCCGTCTTATACTTAAACGTTAATAGTTTTCGATCCATAACGATCTGCTGCTGTGGACTTACGGCGTTTCTTTACCGCGAATCACAGGATGAACAGGAAGTATCTCTGAAAACTTTGGGTCATTGAGAAATTCATTATAATATCTTGAATAAAATGTCGAATAATATCTTATGGACATCTCATAAATTGCAGAATTGGGTAAAGTTTATTAGATGTTATTAAGATTAAATCAGAGATCAAAAATTCTAGAATCCATAATTACGAGAACTTTAGAAATTCTGTGAAGAGTCTAGAAAAATGTGCTAAGACCCAAAGTTAACATAAGGTGCACTCGTACTCTCCGTTCTATAAACGTGACTTCGCATACTATAAATGTGGCACAGAATTGTCAGCGTCGGATCAAGGTAACGACCTTACAAACCGAGATTAATCCTGCACGGTAATAAATCCAGACAACACAAAGATTCAAAAAAAGAAACATATCATCCACCTAGGACACTTTAATTGTTCAAGCATTCTTGGATCTTTGTATCCCACATTTAGTTAATTGCAACTTAGTCTAAGCTCCATGTAGTGTCTTATACACTTCAATATGAGGCAAGTGAAATTTAAAACCAGGTAGCTATATTTAGCACCAAATGCAGGACACGTAAGGCAGATTCTTTAAACTTTCATTTCGGAAATAAATTCGTTGGAAAAGTCACCCTCCCCATCTCGAAAAACGCGATGATACTACAAGAGGAATCCGCTTTGCTCGAAACAATTTGGATTAATGTAGCTCAAAAGATCATGTTCCGACATGGAGGTGAGTTCTTGAGGCAGCATTCCATCCTCCGTCTTTCTATTGGATGCGGTACTCGCGGCAGGATTGGGAATTGGAGCATTCACAGCCTGACGATTTGTAGCAACCGGAAGTGCAACCGGTGGTGATTTGCTGGCGACTTGTTCGATAATGTTGTTTTGTGCTGAAGGAGATTTCGGTAGGATTCCTTCCATCGCATTATTCATCAACTGCGCACTTTGAGTCGCCACACTATTCAGAATTTTCTTCGTAGCAATAATTGCATGAGCGGTAGTCGTCGAGATAGGCCGATTATTGATAATATCCTTTGTGGCATTGGTGATGACATTATTGATAGCTTGTTCGGCTGCATTAGTCAAACGTTGTTGAGAAGGTTCCTGAGCAGCACCGCTAGCTAAAGCAGAACTAGCTTCGGCCACAAAGCCCGCGGGTTGATTTAACATAGAACCAATATCTTGTTGAACAGCCTGCTGCATGGCTTGCGCCGCTTGAGCTTGTTGGACAGCTTGCTGTACCGCTTGAACCTACAAAACATTTTTTGTTTGAAATTATGGTATTTTGAATAAATAATATATAAAATATGATAAAAGTAATACTTCTTTCAGAATTATTGCCACTTACATAATATTCATTTATATATAGTTTCTTTACATCATTGATTTGCCTCATTATTTTGGATACCAAAATATTAAAGTCATCAAAAAATAGTTTACAAGATACTTTAAATTTTATGTTATAATGTAGAACAAATAGAAATAGAATAAAATATAAAATATTTCGTAAACTATTATCTTTCTGATAATTGTACCTTAATATTTTTATGTCCCAGAATAACTAGAGAAATCATATTATGTAACGAAAAATATGATTCCATTAAAAAAATGGTCACTATAAAAAATGTATTGAAAGCAGCTCAAGCTGCAAATAAATTAATATCACAATCATATCGCTCTCTTGAAACCTTATAACTTTGTCTTAAAATATTTTTCATCAAAAATGTTTGTTTTCAAGATAATTGATTTAATTATATATAATATAAATAATAAATTAAATGTTTATAAATTTATCACTAACCTGCTGTACCACCTCTTGTGTTGCTTGCTGCACCGCTTGTTGCACCACTTCTTCAGTGGCCTGCTGCACCGCTTGCTGCACTACCTGAGCCGCTTGAACTTGTTGCACAGCTTGTACTTGCTGCACTGCTTGCTGCACTACTTGAGCATGCTGCACTACTTGCTGGACTACCTGTTGCTGGGCCTGATGCACCACTTGGACCGCCTGTTGCTGCGCCTGCGCAACGACTTGCTCGACTTGTTGCTGTGCTTGTGCCACTACTTGTTCTACTTGTTGTACTTGTTGCATTACAGTTACATCTTGAGTAAGCACTTGAATCTGCTGTTGCATTTGTTCTGCTGTGACTGCTGGCATTGCATTGCCAGCAACCTAGGAAAAAAAAAAAAAATAAAAAGAAAAGGAATATATTACATTAAAATTCATTTATTTTCATCATAAAAATTCTTTCGATCCAAGAAATTTTTCCATTTTATTAATTTTATATTATACTTTAAAGTTCAAAATTTGGTTTTAGGACTTTAAATTTTATTTCGAGATTCCAAGCTTCCACTTACTTGCAAATTCTGAATTTTATTTTAACTAAAATTTTCTCATTCAATCTATTATATTTTTTCTTCCTAATGTAATCTGAAATAAAAAATACTTACTGTAGAATTCGACGTGGCAGTTGCCGTATTAACTTGTGTTTCTGGCAATTGCGGTAATAATGCTGCATTGATAGTATTTAATAGACTTTCTCCCGTTTGCTCTACCGTTGTCGTAGGCGATACTGATGTTGTACCCGCAATCTCTGCCAATGGTTGTACCGTTTGCGAAGGGATCAATGCCTCCAGTAACATTGTCTTCACCGGAATCGGCGGACTAGTTCTAGTCTGCTGGCCCATTGGCTCGTGCTCTGCTGTTACGTGATTCAATATTGTTGTAGAATTGGGATTCACCGAATGTAATGGAGATACCATCTGTTCAGCTGCGGAGTTTACTAAGGCATCCAATTTTACTGAAGTTTGTCCTAAAAAAATACCGTCGCACGCATCCTGCTATTTTATTCTCTTCTATATTACGTGAAAAATATTTCTTATATCCTTATAAACTTTTAAAAATTTTGAGAAGAAATTTACGAGAAGAAAGAGTTTAAGAAGTTTAAACTTATTACTTAAATTTGCTATGATCTTTAAAAATATAATATAAATAAAGAGATAAGTGTCCCTAAACAGTTACATTTAATCACCCAAAATATTATTTTTACCTACCTGTATTGGCTAGAATTCTCGGAGGAGCTGCCGGCTGTTGACTACTTCCCGAAATGATGGAAGCCCGCTGTTGTTGAATAGCGAACTCATTTTCTGGATTATCAGATTTCTCGTTGGTACCAACCGAGGATTCCACGTGATTCAGGTACTTTCCCACCACATGATTATTCGACGCTGACAATTGCTGCGACCCGGAAGCACCGGTGAAACCTGACAGTGTGCCAAAGTCGGACTGATGATGGTGATGTTTCATACGAAGATCCACTACCCCGGCACCCTGAAGGACGGCACCATTGGAACTGTTGTCCGTTGACAGGACACCGTTCGTGTCCTTGAGACGATGAGGACTAAGAACTTGGACCTGAGTTGACTCATGCATGCCTACAATAGAGAATTAAGAAATATTTAACTTAATTTAGATTTTAAGATGTACAAGAGAAAATGATTCAGATTTGGCCGATTGAATTTTAATCGAATATCATTTAGTTTTCAATCACAAATCAAACATTTGCTACACTCACCTCCAAACGAAGTCGAATGATGCGTATTCATTGCGCAATTTGACAAAGGATGCTGGGTGCGTATCAGATCTACCACTCCGAGAAGACCGCTTACATTCTCGTGCACAGGGCTGTTACTAGCTGCCGTCGCGACGGCAACGGTCCTGATAATATCTGCTTGCGAGGGCGCGGCCTCTCTAGAATTCTCCAACTGCTGAAGGGGAGAAGTGACCGACGTTGGTCCGTTTGTGGCCGTCGTCGGCGTCGGAATGCTTTGCATACTGTTTTCGCTCAGCATACTATTCTGACTGTTCTCGTCGAGCACTTCTGTTTTTAAGTTATCCGGCAGAATTAGCTGAAGATTGGACGAGGATCGGCGAGTCATTAGAGGATTCGCTACGAGCACCGGAGGTGGCATCATGACATCGGAAGGCGAATTCGAGGACTGAGAAGAAGTCCATAGCATCACCGGGGTCACCTGAGATGGTCCTGTCGGTGGTGGACTGGGGTCGTTCTTCAAAGCTTCCGTAGGAGTACTCTGTTGCGGTTGAGTTGCAGTGTTCGTCAAAAAACTTGCAGCTCCCGCAGCAGTTTGCGTTAGAAGAGCTGATGAGTATTAAATATATAGTGTTTAAAGTTACATTCAAAAATTTCAATTTATCTGAGAATTTAAAATTTCTCGAAAATAGAAAATCTTTAAAGAATCTTTAAAAAAAAAAAAAAATTTAAAGAATCCAAAGAGAGAATCGAAAATGTAATATTAGCATTTAACAACTATCAAAGTTCAAGATTAAAAAAATTAGAATTTAATGCAATGTTTAGAAAATCCATTAAACTTACTGCTGGACGCAACAGCCGTAGCCACGACAGAGGGTGAAGTCAGACTGGCTTCGCCATTTGTCAGCGGAGGCGAGAGGGACTCGATTTTCCCTACGGATGGCTGCGGAGGAGTAGAGGTGGCCGTGTAAAGAAAAGTATGCGGTTCGCTGGTTTTTCCGGAGGACACCGCATATAACTTGACGCTGATTGTTTCCGTAGGCGCAAGATCCTGTCTGCGGTAGGATGGAATTACGCATACTAAGTGTGCCGGATGTAAATATTCCTTGTCCGGCAGTACGGTGCATTCCCAATGTGGTTCAAGGCTACTCGATAGATCATCATTGTCCAACTGAAAGACTACTCGGGTGTCCTTGAGGAAGTTCTTACCCAGTATAAAGAGTTCCAACCCGCCAGTACACGGGCAGGATGTCAGAGACTTTTTGCAGATCTCTGGAATTCCAGGCGGTTGAGCTGCGAACATACCAGATGGATGACTTCGTAAGAAAATTGAATAAATCGTGAAATGTTCCTGTTCGAATCTTCTCTAGTTTATAATTTCAACCTTCTTTACTTCGTTAATCTATTATTTCCCTTTTCTTTCTCGTAATCAATCTATCCAGTTTTCCTAAGCGTCTGAATAAAACATCCATTCTATCACTCAACTCACTGCAGACTATCGGCTGAGAGCACACTTGTAGCGTCTCTGTGGTTCCATCGGCGTGCGTGATAATCGTGCGAAACACCATGCGGCACCGTGTGGATTTCTTCTTGCTCCTTCCTTGCAACAGCCCGGCCTCCTGAGGGAACCTATGTTCGACATCGACATTACGTTCCTTAAGAATGCCGACGCAGTCGCAGGTGATGTCCTTCGCTGGCTCCATGTCAATTTCTATTACGATCGTGCCGTCGATCTTCCGCTCGACGCAAGGTGTGGAGTTTTTGCCGCTTACTCGACAGGCCTGGTAAAACATGTGAGGCGCGACTCGGCCAAGATCAGTACCAATAAACACCTGCAGGGTCGTCGGCTTATCGTAGCCGACCAGTCGAACGATGGGAAAGCCATTGCCGCTACGGTCCTTCACCGCACCCCGCGAGCCCTCCGTCTGATAGCGAGCTCGGTGCTGTTGCTCAGGTTGGCAGACAATTTGCAGTTGGATTTTGCCGTCGGCGGAAATGTTGGCTGACGATCAGAAAATAACCAAAAAACAAACAACAACAAACAAAATTAGATCGGACTGCCGCGTGGGTTTATCTGGAGAGTGGGGCAGGTCAGAGAATAATTTACGGAATACACGCAGGTGCAGGAGTAAATACGGAGTACCAGATTGCTGGGATTTTTGGATAGCAGAATGTTTACCATTGATCTGTTGGAGGAATGCCAAGCGAAGGCAGATATATTGTGTTAAAAGTGATCCAAGAGTAAACTAGATGCATAATAAATTAATACAGATTCTTGGAGACCTAGACTATTCGGAGATCTAGAAAAATAGAGATAAAGACTCTTAAATCATTCGTCAAGCCAAAAATATATTAAATTTAAAATATTTCGACTTCAAAGATTTGACAGATTTAAAAGAGACTTTGGAAAGTCTCAAGTCTAAGTTTAAAATATGTAAAGCTCTTATTTCAAGATAAATCAATTTACAATGTATATCATCGACAAATCTATTGTAAACCAATTTGATCTTTTAACTAAGAAGTGACGCAAACAAAACATTTCTATCATCATTAATCGTTTTTACTCAATTGTCTATGATAAAACACATTGCTCCAATATCAGCAGATTATAAATCGTCTGACCTATATTTGGTATCGCAAAAAGCGAAGTATCGAATTTCGTATTATGTATATTAATGTTGTTCTTCTTTTTTTCTTATCACTGCAAGAAAAAGAAAGAGAAAAAAAAAGGTGCGTTGGCTCTCAAAGCGAGGAGATAGCTTATCGGTGGTAAAAGCGACAAAATAAGCAATTTCGCCGGAAATAAATCCACCAATGAGTTTACTTTTGTTGCAAAATATTGAAAGCGACAACGCGGCTTCTGCGATCCGGAGTAATGAATTGTTTCATCTCTTCCCTCGCTTCTCCCTGGCAAGACAAACGTTGCAGAAGTGACTGGGTTTATGAGATGCAATAAAGTGCACGAGATTGTTGTTGATATTACTTCAGCTGATACCGAATGTGTATTCAATATTGATAAATAGGTTGCGGTTGAGAATTCAAGACGCGATATTTTTGTTGCACAATTGCATCAACTATGCAGCAACGAGATTTGTCTTTTGGAAAAAAATCATGAAGTTATATGTAACAATCGTAAATATATTTTAAAGAAAAATGAAAATTTAGATAATGTTAATCTCGATGTAAAATTCACACATACGCACAAAATGTTTTAAATAACAAATCTAAATGTCTCTGAGAATCTGTAGTTCTGAAAGTTTAAGAATTCAAAGCCCAGAAAGATACAAACCCAAGTAATCTAAAGACCAAAGGTTTATAGAGTCAAGAGTTCAAGACTTGAAAAGATTAAAACAATCGCTAGAAATGAGTTCGTATTTTCTGATCTATCTTAGAAACTTGAAATTGGTTTTACATGTATGTTTAATCAATTATTTCGATCACAATAATATATAAACCATTTATGATTAAAAGATTTATTCTATTATTTGTATGACACGTAACTGTGTGCAAATGCAACTTATCGTTAATCTTGAGTTTATGCGTTTTATGACAAATTGATTTAAAGAATTGAAAATTGTAAGTGAGAAAGAGTATGAACAATAATGCATTTTACAGGGCGCCTACTCAAATCTTATAAAAAATTCTCTGAGATTCCCGGACTTTCTAGATATTTTTATAAATACCTAAATAAGTTTACTTTATTGAACATGCTTTTTAATGTTTTCTAATTGCGAAGGAAAATCGCTTAACATTTTGATATAATCACTCTACCTTAATTACTTTAATAGAAGCATTTTCTTTTTTCCTAGTAGAATTTACTTTATAAAAATTCATAAGTCATATAAATTTATAATGTGTATATCATAGCAATTGCTAACTTGGATAATTAATGGATTGCTGACAGCTTACATTATAAGAGCAAAATTATTTTTTACATTGAGAGAAAAGATTTTTTTTTTTTTTAATTTTATCCATTTTCTCTGAAGAAAACAAATTTATAAAAGTTCTCTAAGTCTCGATAAAATTCCATAAAAGTCTCTGATTTTCAAGAAGAAATTCTAAAGAAGAAATTCTTTGAGAATTCCAAGTTTTTTTTAAAGAATAAACACTCTGTTTTAGGGATCTATATGACATTAGCATTTTCTTGACTTTTTTTATGACAGCTATCTAAGGACGTACATAGTTGCGAGATAAGGGTAACAGGTCCTTGATGAGTAATTGGTGTTCTCTTGGCCAACACGCCCATGGCAGGTCGGGGCCTGGTTACCCCCACAACTCTGCCTATAGAGTTAGCATTTCCGGATTTGTTACCGGATATTCCTCCCAAACCAATTCCATTGACAGTGGTTCTAACTGTCGATGACTTATTGTCAGGACTAGTTCCGGGAGCCACTTCCGGAAATGCAAAGTTCGCATCCTCAGACTCTAATTTGATGTCCATCTTTCTTCTCTTTGAATCCTCCTCGCCAACGTTATTCCAGAGCTAATAAAATAATCACAGAATTAATCATTTATTAATTCATGTATAACGTAATGTCTCATATTAAATATTCACTAAAATTAATTAAAAATTATTCTTAATGATTCTTGAATATATTAAACAATTGCCAGATGAAATAACAGTGCTAAAACCTGAAATAATAATATTGTATATATAAAATTTAAAAGTATATACACAAAATTTAGCAGTAATTTCGCAATAGCTCCGTAATTTTATTTTGGTAAATCTTCATTCGGTAAAAATATGATATCATTAAATTGAATTAAAATTAAACTGAAGAAAAAAAAAAATTGCTATCTTTTTATATTAAATTCAATTATTAAAAAGTTATATTTTTCTTAAAAGATAATTTTTCTCAAAATAATACGGCATCATTTTTCACTTGATATTGATATGAAAGAAAGTTGAGCAATCAGTATAACGGGAACACCCCGTATGTGCGTGAGCGTCTGTGTGCTTAATTTAACGAATCAGAACTCGGCTGGGTTCAACTACCGTTCGAGCGGTCGGCGATCTCCGATGATGATATTGATGACGATCACGCGTACCCTCGTGAACACATTAAATAACTTCATCTGGCTTCTAACGACAGGGTGACTCAGTGCCGTAATCGTAGTAAGAGTAAGGAAAGTGCACGGCCCCACGAGAGGGGCCCCGTCAACTCTTCCTGCTTCTTCTTCTTCACATTTCCATCTTTCAGCAAAGAGAAAAAGAAAAGAAAACGAGATATATCGGAAGCGAGAGTCAGTTAGATTCGATTGGCAACTTGCGGAATTTTTGAAAATTTTTGTCAATCTTTTCGAATTCACTGCTTCAAGATGCCATTATTTCTTTGAACTTTCACAATGCTACAAATAGGAAATACAAAAATAAGTTTACGGGCCCCCTGAAATCTTTTTGGAACTTGCTAGAATTACTAATTACTGCTTTATTAGAATTTTAGAGCGCAAATGCTAGAATACTGGAGTTTTAAATATTTAGAATATTCTATAATGCCTATGTCTATAAATTCTAATATGTTTCTAAATCAATAAGATTAATTAAATTGTTCGGATTTTATCCGGATCAAATCCAATCGGATTTGGAAATATCCTATCATTAGCAAGTACTAACAGTGACGTTATTGAAGTGCTGTTGGCGTTCCTCAGAACCAAGGCCGGAGTCGTTTGAATTGTCGTCTGGGGTTGTGCCGGTTCTAGGCCCGTGATCATCCGAACTCCTCACAGCTGTGCCGAAAGATGATAATGGAAGTCTGCCTTGTTTTGGTTGTTGTTGCAGTTGAGTTTGTTGCTGTTGCTGTTGTCGATGTTGTTGCTGCTGTCGCTGATTAGTAATCGTTCTCCTAGTCGCGGAATGGGCACGATTACCAGTAGTGTTTCTTGAAACGGACGATGCTGTCACCGTTGACGACGCGCCGCCTGCATTGTTACCTGCAAATTAGCAATCTCGCCGTCAGTCCCGCTTTTAATCGTTAATTATTTTCAGGGGCAGGCTGAAAATAAATTTCAAATATTAAGTAAGCCAGCTAGGCTAAATAGAATGTAAAAAGAGAGATTTTTAAAATCTTCATTAAAAAAAAATTTTTTCGTTATAAATCTTCACACAAATCCCTAAAGTTCAAATCAAAACTCCTTATATCCTCAAAATTGTCAAAAATCATATAAATTCTCATCTATCAAAGCCGCAAATCTTCAAAAATCCGCATAGATCTTTCATAAATCATCCAATTTTCGTTATAAAAGAATATTAACTTTTAAATCTCCCCCGTTTCGAAAAAAAAAAAAAATAGCTTGAATTTCAAGATTCCAACAAATTTTTTTCTCTATTTCTCCTCTCTTTCTCATCTGAGATCCAAAACACTTGAAATTGCATAACTACCGATCAGTGGAGTCATTTTTGGATCCTACGGTCCTCAGATTAGTGGATCGCTTGCCACCGATAAGATTGGAATTTTCGCTCAAATTTACGAAAAGCACTG